GGGATTCCTAGTACTTATATAATTTGAAGAGCATTTGTTTCATCTTCGCGTTTTCTTTTCCTCGCCACTGATACTTGAGAAATATTTTGTTTGTAAATATAATATAAATATTAACATTTTTTTTTCTAAAACACTTTTATTCGATTTTTTTTTAATTGAACATTTTTTTTAAATAAATATTTTCAGTTGGTGATTTTAGAATTAAATATTTCAGATAATCGAAGAGCTGGGTAAGGATATTCGACCGACCTACACCGGCAATAAGCTGAGTTCGGAACGTCTGAAGCGTAACATAATTCATGCGCGAATTCTTGTCCGTGAATGTATGGTGGAATCGGATCGCGCCAGCAAAACTCAGCAGCAATAAACCAGAAGCATTTCTGCAGTTCTCTGTTTTACTTTGCGTATTTTCTGTATTTAATCATTTAAGTTCTGTTTTCTGTATTTTATAAGGATTCATTGAATTCCAGTATTTGATTGTTGTTTAAGTCCTGCTTTTTTCTTTGTTTCTAGAAATTTATTTGAATCCTGCTTTCTGTATTTTTTAAAAATTTATTGTATTCCTGCATTTAATTATTTAAGTTCTATTTTTTTTTCAAATAATTCATGCAGCAATCTTCAATTGTGCTCCACGAGCGACCAGCAGCTCTTCAAATTATCGATAAGCAATCGTTGGAATTACTTGTCACAACCTATCAACTTCACGATGAAAATAGCCGATACTCTGGATCTATTTATAAGCTAATTGGATGTAAAATTATCAAAAAATTAGCTGTGCCGGCTGGGATTTTTCGTTTTGATCGTCACCCAAACAGCCCAACTATCACTGCCGCTCTCACAAATGGATCAGTTGGTATTGTTAGCTGCGACCTGAATTCTCTTAATACACTACCAGTGATCAGCAATGGAATGTTGCTCTCGATTTCGATGGCAGCTCAAGGCGACGGAGCCGTATGCTCGGATACACATGGCCAGCTACATGTTGTCTGCATCAGTTCAGGTAGAAAATAAACTATATAATTAAATGCAGAATCTGTATTTTAGCATGTTTCTTCATTATTCGTTTCGTAGGCGGAGCCAGGACCGACTGTTGGGGCAGGCAACGGAACGTGGGAGGGGAGGGGGGAGGAATGGAGATTCTTAAAGGAGGGTGAGGTAGGGTAACGCAAAATACTCTTACTTGCACAGTGTTATTCTAATAGGGATGAGGGGCCTAGATGTTTTTTTCTGGGCAGGATTTGAGGACAGTAGGAAAGGGGGACGAAGTCAGGAGCTCGAAGCAAGAACTAGAGGAAGCAATAAAGAGAAAGAGAGAGTCCCCTCCCACTCTCGAACTGTGCAAAAACTAGGAATAGAGTTGTACACACTGCTACTTAGAGTTGCTTTAATTTTATGAGCATTGGTATCTGTGATAAGACCCTTTGCCCGCTCCCACACTCCCCAAATCGTTTCAATGGTATATTGCTACTGGCAAATGGCACAGAGACAAGATCTCCGCAAGGCTCGCTTTTGAGCAGTTTTTAGGCGATGTTTTTAAGATTACACTTTGACCTTCTAACAACTGTAAATTATTATTACTATTATTATTATTGTTATTATAACACTTGTAGGATCTATACCTGTATCATTTATTGCACATACTTCACCATATACAAAAGAACCGTGTGA